ATGGCCCAACTTCACTGCTAAGGTTGCATGCAGGATGATGTTTTCCTAGGTTGGATGCGACGCATCCAACCCTTCTTCCTCTGGCTAAACCACATTTTCTTCATATTTTGCACTCCGAACACCTTAAATCGTCACACATAACTTAATTAGTCATCAAACCAATAATTACACCATGTTGGGCGTTTTAAAGATTAAATAACATCAAGAAGTGGTTAAAACATGGGCAAAGTAACATCAACACATATCGAAATATGCCAAACATCAGTTAGCCAATATTTATTATGCTAATAGCCCTCTTTATGTCTCTCTTATTTTCCGTTGAGCAGCACGGCTTCCTGCCCTGTTTGGGAGTTATGCTCTACCGTCTATGCTTGTAGGTCTTTGTGCTGGTTTTGTTGCCACCATTTATATTCATCTAATTTTCTGGGCTTTGTTTGCAGTATCTGAAGCAATCTTTGTTATAACATCTGCTGTCAAGGATGTATGTGGGAAATCTCCAACGGAGAGACTTTTCCTGGACAATTATGGAAAGATTTGCTTGTGCCTGGATGAGATTGTGTGGACGGTAAGGGGAATTGTCTTTATGTTTGGACAATTAAAACTTTCTGTTACTTGAAGCTCTCACTTCATCACGTGAAGCTTGTAGAGGATGATATAGTGCTAAGAAAACCTTTTTATTTATCAAAAATACTACCAATGTGGCGGAACAGGAAATCGCAGGGTTTTTGAGTTGACAGATGGCATGCACGATTTAGATTGGTCAACTTCTTTATATTATCGTTTTCCCTGTGCTAAATTTGCTTGATAAACATGCTCTTTATATTTACTTAAATAAGGTTTTAGATTGATAATCACTTTTTAGTCCTAGATGACGGAATAGAGATTAGATATTGTTTTGACTGTAAAACTCTGTTGGCACTTCTATTTGATCCTATCTGTAAGTTTTGTTGTACGCCATTTGGTGCTATCTTGCTGATGATATTCTTTGTGTATTGTGAAGGGGTTGCTGGAGAATATCGACAAAATATAGAATCAAGACACTTGTTAGATTGAAACCACCAACCGAGTTCTGAGATTTTGTTTTTAGTCTGTATGTTTATTCAAAGCAGCTGAGGCTCCAGCAGTACTATACGTAAGTCTACAGGTGTCTTTCGAATTTTACTGTAATGATGTTGGTTATTTCCATTCTTGTATACTTGTAACACTCATCTTCAGTTTTAAACTTTGTTGGACATCTGATTTTGATAAAAGACAGTGAAAAATTCTAATGAGGGCCAATAGCAGCTCCCTCGTGTTTATATTTGATCGAGAGTAGATCTTGCTTGAACAATGTCAATGAACAAGTGACCATATATACCAGTCGTGGATTTCTGGTTATACGAATTCTGAAACTAATTGTCATGAATTTTTGTCAGTAAGTCATCAAATTCTCTTTTGGAGGAAAAGTTCTTTTCTACTTATTAAACCTCAATACCATTCTTTTTTGGTCATCGGCAGATTTTAGGTTGCTTCCATCAACTATAAATTTGTTAAAACTATTCATCAATGATCTATCTAATGCAAAACTTTATTAAAATTGAATAAACAGTTATTCCATAATAAAGATTAGCATATGTAAACGCATGGTTAGTCCCAACTGCAAGTTCATCCTTTGAAGGACAGATTATTCATAACCTTCTCAACTCATGAACAATTACAAAAATTTAAATGCTTAATATGCAAGCACCTTATTTGCATAAGTTAGAAGGATTTTACACAATAACTAAGGTCCACGAAAAGCTGCTCATTTTGCCTACTCTGGACCTGCTGCTGACCAGTAAGTCATGCTATCAAATTGTTTCAACATGCTTGATCCTTTAAGCTAGCTTTGCCTAGGATATGTAGCTACACATTTGAACATAGAGATTATCAAATGGACTTGCTCAAGTTGGATAATTCTGTGGGCCGTTGCACAATGCTTTCACTAGAGGGAAAACAAGAAGAGGGATTGTTTAATCCTGAGGTTGAGCCATATGCCTTCCAACAAAACGACGTTGTGGGGAAATCCAAAAACGAAACAAGTTGAACATCTTCCAAATATAGATTTCTACATGGGGAGTTATCACTACAGGCAAATGTTATTGCATTTTTTGTTGCTGAAGACCCTCTAATACCAACAAAGGATACGCTGTTAATGCCAATAGCCAAAGTCTGCATATCGGATATTCACAGTAGTTAGATGCATATATGAGCACAATTGCAAGAGTGTTGAAGTCAAATGTGTTCAGAAAACACAAACATGGAAGTTTTGTCCAAATTTATTTGACACTTTTCATCTTTTTATTTTGACCAGCTAATTAATCAGACTACAATAATATTCGTTATTTTAATATTGTATGTTACACATTAATTTAAGAACTATATAAAAAATACATACTACTACCTAAGACTATAAGTTGCAAAAAAAATAAAAAATCATATCGAAATAGCTTTTTACAAAATACTTTATTTTAAAGTGTTATCAAAATTCACGTTATTTAAATTTTAGGAAACAAAAGATGTAACAAATAATTGGACATATTAGTGAGTATAACCTGTTTAATGCATAAGTGTAATATATGGTTTGCTACGTGATAATGAACTATACGATCACTTGGTTCTCAAAAAATGATCACCTAATCATGGATGTTTTTTAATTTCATCACTAGTAGGGCAACAATTTGCTGTGTGATATGAAGTGTAAGTTAAATAATAAGCATAAAATAGAAGTAGCCTCGCTCGTTAAATTTATCAACGAAATACTAACTGCGTAAGTTTTAGACATGCAATAAATAGCTTACCTGATTGGGACACGCCAGTGGAGAATCACAATAATATTGATCTATTATGATGGGATTTGACACATTTTCCATCCACACGTTCGCAAAAGCAATCTTTCTGACAAACCCCCTACCTCCCTGGTATATAAAGCATATATGAGGAAAACCAACAGGGATTGCAATCAGCAAATTAAATCAAATTCTTAAAGATGAAAACTGGTGATTGAATGATGACAAATTGAAATGATACTCCCTTCCTATGTTTCAATTTATGTGTCGTTGTTTAACTGAGCATGAAGTTTAAGAAAGAAAAGAAAGTCGTTTAATTGTGATGTTAAACATGTCATAACATTTGTGTGACTATAAAAAACTTTTTATTACAAATAAAATGAGAAACTAAAAGTTAAATTGTTTTCAAAGTATAAATATATATATATTTTTTGCGAACTAATAAGAAAATAATGTCATATGGCATGAAACAAACAATAAATCAATATTACTATATATATGATTACCTGCCAAGTCTTTATCCTCACACCATTTTCTGTGTTGGAAAGATATGCTCCATCAACACAGACATCGTGCACTTGAGACGACGATGAGTTAGACTTTCCCAAGCTTCCAATGCTAAAATAATGGGACATATATCAGCCATCAAACCAAAAACCTAAATTTGTCTACCCATGATCTAAACAAAACAGTAAATTAAACGTTCTACCTTATACCATGGCCTGGTCCACAAGCAATGTTTTTGACCAAGATTCTTGACGAATTGCCCACTATAGATATACAGTCATCTCCTGGCGGATTCAATTTGTGCATGTAACAGCAAATTAAAATATAACAAATTAACAATAATAGAACATACTGCTAACTCTGATACCAACATAGGGACAGTCCGGTGTACCAAGAATCCCGCCTTCACGCAGAGTTTAGAGAAGGGTCGCACCCCAAGGGTGTGATAGACAGTTTACCCTAATGCAAGAATTAGTTGCTGCTTTCGCAGCTCGAACCCGTGACCTATAGGTCACACGGAGACAACTTTACCATTGGTCAAGGCTCCTTTGAACTCACCAGCATGCGTAGACCAAAAATAAACAAACCTATTTTCTATTATGACAACAGAAGCTTGTTTCTTAGACCAAAAATAAACAAACCTGTGCCAATACTGCTATCTCTGATACCAACATGTGTAGATGAGCTTAAGTGGATTGCATCTGTGTTAGGGCTCTTAGCAGGTGCTTGCACTATAAGATGTGATACTTCAACATGTATGCACTTAGAAATTGATATATGCATTTGTTGACTATTTAGCATCCTTATGTCCCTCACTTTCAGATTGTTGCATCTGTGGAAAGTCATTGCCTGTGTATTGTCATTAAGTTAATCAATCATAACCATAATCATTATCAAAAATAAATCCTTCTTATATGCATTGACAGTGTAAATAAATTTTATACAATCACTATAATTTAATCTGTCATAGTAATTTTGTAGGTGACCTGATGATAATGAAAAATTCCTTTTACACTGTCAATATATAAGAGTTAAACCGTAAAACAAATGAGTTCGATCGGGGGAAAATTGCACTGACTGTTGGAGCATGTCGACAAGGCTGCCAAATAATAAGATTGTAAAACGTCAGAATTTTATGGTGTGAAAGAATTCCATAAAGCACAAAGTATATATTAGTATAGCAATGATAATTACATTGGTGGTATTAATCTTGCATGACCTAGCCCACCATTTCTGGCCCATCCCGTTAATTGTTCCTCCTCCTTCTACAGTCAGGTATTTCACTTTAAAGAAATAAAGCCATTTATGTGGATTCAAACCATCCCAGACTTGAGGATCTTTCGGCGCTACAATAGAACCTGCAATCTTATAGGTAATGTATTGCAGAAATAAAAAATTATTAACTGATTATCTTTATTAGCAAAACATAAATAGCAGTGTTGTACAAGCTACATTCTTAAGCACTTACTGATAGAGACACCTTTGACCGGCAAGGCCCAACAAAATCAATTGGTCGAACTAGAAAAGAATATCCACTCGGGATTACAATTTTTGGTCGTAATGGTGAAGAACATGCGATTTTCCAGACATCTTGAAACGGCTGAAAATGTATAAAAACTCTTTAACTGAAGCTACTTAAGTACTAGTAGTATTAATTGTGTGAATACGTAGATGGAAATAAAACATACACCTTAACATGTTTACATATACAAAGAACGAAGGTGTATGTGAAGATATGTGTAATATATTTATTCATGTTAGTGTAAACACCAATTACGTATAAGTTTTTACTCTTACCTTAGTGCCATAAGTTGTGAAGATATGTGCAATGTAATTATTAATTAGGTTAGTGTAAACGCCAGGTGCGTGTAAGTTTTTACTCTTACCTTAGTGTCATCGGTTATGCCATCTCCTTTGGCTCCAAACTCATTCACATAAATAAGGGTTTTTGATCTGCCTGTTATGTTGTTCAATGTAGGGAACTGATGAATCACGGGATGGTAACTATTCACATTTGCGAAAAGCAAGAACGAATAGATAGTAGTATATAATAGTGATGCCAAAATAGAAACAGAAGTGGAATAATAAGAAGAAAAAGTGAAGTAAGAAGATCTCAGCTCCCCCATATTCTGTTAATTAAACTGACAGAAATAATGACGAGGGAATTTATAGTAACATACCCGAAAGCCAAATGATTTCTGCTACGTACGTAGTTGTTTTCTTCCATGTACGATGAAAAGGGAAGGTTCCAAGAAAGAAATGAAAAGGACTTGGGAATTTCCTAAACTGGCAATATTACACTTAAACAAAATGAATCAATCCCATAACTGTTAACAAATATTTGACATGGGTCCATTATTTGTAAGCCACATATTTTGTAAGACTTTCCTCCACCGGACAAATTTTGAGCAAAACGAATGACATTGAATCTTGGACTAGTGGAAAATATCTCTATATACAAAATCTAAAATTGAGGAGTAAGTAGTATTCTGTTTGCTTACAAGCTGAGCATATTTTTAGCATTCATTGATGTTAACTTGATCGAATTTTGAGTGAAAGTAGGAATTAATTAATTATTAGTAGTACGCACACAAACATACATCACGTCAAAAAAAAAAATCTGAAAATGTTTTAATATTAATGAATAAGTTAGGTAAATATGAAATATATTCTTTAAAAACATGATCTAATATTCACTTTTAGATCAATTTATGGTAAAATACTAAAGTTATTTGAATTTTTAAGTTATAATATGTCACGTAGTGCTTAATGCAAGATTAATTTAGTATATACTCAATTGTATCAAATACAAAACAAGACAAGTTAATTAATTAAATAATTAAATTAATTAAAAGGTATATATCCGTCCACTGTAAAAAATAAATGGACCGGACTCAACATTAAGATTGATTTGAGGCCCAACTTTCACCACTCCAGAGTTTCTTCTTCGGCCCAGTTGCGAGACACTACCTTTGCTGCGAACTTGCTTGCTTCTCTCCGTCTGATCCTGCGGCGAACTCCTCGCGATCTCTTTCCGAAATCGAGTTGTAAGTAAGTACCTTTATTCCCCCTCTCTTCTAGATCAGTTTTGATTAAAATGCTTTTTTTAATTAATTTTTATCGATACTAAGATCACTAATTCTTTTTTGTCCAACATCATTATTAATTATTGAAGAATGGAAAATTTGTGTGTAATTAGCATGTGAATCTGATTCAATTTCTTTTGTTTGAAGGAATTTAGGGATCCGAAAAGTTAGAGGGAAATGGCAACCACAGCGTGTTTTATGATTGTAAGTAGAAATGATATTCCTATCTACGAAGCTGAAGTTGGCACTGCGCCCAAGGTAATTTTTAGCCTTTGCTTAAAACAACTAAATATCTTTACATCTGAAGTACTAGCTTTTTAACTGTCTCCCTTTTTTTAATAGGTGACCTACATTATTTGATTCTGTAATGAATTGTTTACCTTTGAAAATGGTTGATGGGAAATGTACAGAAACCTCATTTTAGTTTTCGGAAAACCATTTACAATCTTATAATTTGCTCTTTATCTGGCAAATGGTATGGAAAGCTAATTTACAATCACTGATTTTTAGTTGTGATTCTTTGCTCTCTTTGATTTTAATGGAGGATCAGAATAGGATTTTGGGAAAGGAACAATCTTTCTATATCTGGACATCATATTGCCATAAACAAGGTTAAGATATAGACTACAGTGCTTATCAGTTACTGGTTCTTTTTTCAATGACCAGTAAAAAATTCTGTTTGTACCTGGTAATTCACAAATTATAACTACCCTTAACAGTTTCACATCACATATTTGAATTACGTAGCGTGTGCACTTGATTTTTAGTGTCGTAAGTTATAATGCATTTTAATTTGTGGTGTGTGTACTGTAGCATTTTCCATTGTTAGTAAAATGCATGCACATCTTTCTACTTTACTGTGTTTCCGTCATTGATGACAAGTGGTCGAGTTTGTGGTGATTTTGTATCTTATACTTTCATGCTAGAAAGAAGATGCTGCTCATCAGCACCAGTTTATTTTACATGCAGCATTGGATATTGTCCAGGACCTTGCATGGACTACTAGTGCTATGTAAGAATTGCAGCCCCTAGTCATCAAAGTACTAATTATACTTTTTCTTGCTTTCGTCATTGTTATAGTGATTCTCCTACTTTATTTCTTCATCCAGGTTCTTGAAATCAATTGACAGATTCAATGATTTGGTGGTGTCTGTTTATGTCACTGCTGGTCATATCCTCCATATGTTATAAATCAGCATCTGGTGATACTACTGTTTTGAATTTAAAAAATAGATAATGGTGCTAGGTTGTTTTATATCTGGATTTCTCTGTCACAATGAGTACAAAAGCTTGCTTCTCCTTCTACTGTAATTATTTGATTTGTGGTGGTCAGTGGTCACTTATAGAGTTAGTCATCATGTACCAGTACTCCATGTGTAGCAACTGTATATGTTTATCGATTTTTCTCTGATTGAATCCTCTTATAGAAGATTAGTTCTTAGAGTACATGGATTGATAAAATGATATGACATAGCAGAATTAAGAGAAGAGCTCACACATCTTTCTTAACCTTTATGATTTTGAAGGGGACCCTTCCCCCATACACCATTGCC